CTTCAATATGGTCCCTGTAAATGACCTCTTTTGGAAACAAATTCTACTGAAACTAAAACTCTTAACATTTCCATGGAAAGTTGCAGTCAATTCAAAATTTCAAACAAATTTTTGAAAATTACCATTGAATATAATATATTGTTCATATTAATAGCTATGTGACTCCCACGTGTACGATAAAGTTCTACTTCACCACGGGACATGCTGGCCCGTAATTCTGTAATAATGCCAATGGCAGATTTAGTGCCAGTTCTTTTGGTAATTTTATAATGATGCAGTGAGTATGGGTGTTAACGGCATGGAGTCGACCTGTGGATTTGTCAGGGGCTACACTGTCGGTTGCTGCTCTTCTCTGGAGTTTAAGTACTCTAATAACAGTTTGCCTTGAAACGCAAAGCAGTAGCTGGCAATGCTGGATTTCGATTAAGGCCGTTAAATGCAGCTGGTTCCGAAGACTCATCTACTCCAACAAATCATCTTTTTATCAAGGTGAAAATCTCTCCTTTAATAGCCAAGCTATTCTTCTACTATTTTTTAAAATAGATTAAAATATTAAAATAGTTAAAACTATACTTCCTTGAGCTGTCTTGACGTCTTTGACTTGCGTAAAGGCAAATGGTCATTTAATGCGTGGAAGGAAGCAACCAAAATATTAACATATAAACAGTTTAATTAACAATATTAAAAACCCAAAGCTTCGAGGGTGTGACAACTATTTTGAGCTACAGTGTATATTTAAGCCAGTTTGGAAGATCGCGTATTGGGCAGGCTTCGTCTAAACGTGCCGGGAGCACTCGTAGCGGAGAACTTGTACATGCAGGGTGCAAATTGTAAGAGTCATGCGAAATCCAAATTATCCTTCACACAGTAATGCATACTAATATATTCTCCCCTACCAAAAAAGTGTCACCCCTACCGCATTTATATACAAGGCTACAAATATATATATGAACTATTACGAAACAACAACGCAACCCATCATCGTGTAAATTGGGGATTGAGCTACCTATCCCTTTTAACTCCTGGGTTCCTACCGCCCGTCCCCAGGTCCTCGTCGTCATAGTGATCATCGTCATAGTAACCATCATGACGACATTTTGACTCTTTAAGACATCCTTAGCCAGGGAACTGTCTTACGTTATTTTGTGAAACTGGTGTAACGTGACAGAGTCTACCCCATGATAAAGAGTCCCTTCCTATTCGTTTGTGCAGGTAAGCCTCGCCCCACTTAGGTCAGGCTAACCCTAACCATTACTTTCTGTTACTCGGAGCCTCAGTTTCGTTTCACCGGAGTTTGCCACCACCACAGGTCTTGCATGGATATTTGAAAACGCAGTGGCCAATCTCCATGGCAATGAGCAGGCAGAGAGTTAATGATAGGATGTTAAAGAAAGCCATTAAATTACACTTTTAAGATGTGAGTTCAAGTGACACAAGTGATCCTAGTTAAATTACTAAAAAGTTCACTAACGTCTAGTATGTTTATATGTGTACATCGTAAGGCAGTAGCTGAATGTCCATCTATCGCGACTTGCTCTGTCTGTGTCCTAGTTTTGCTTACGTTGTTACAACTCTGACTTTGAGGTACCTTGCAAGGTATTGAAAAGTAATGCATTAAGTTAAAATTATGGGCAATTTCCTATATTTTCAACTTCATCATTATCGCCAATGAAAATAATATAATGAATCGGCAATCGATATCTTTGTACAGGTTGATAACGACCATGATTTCTAATAAGATCGATGAATTTCAAACAGCAAGAAATGATATGTCTATCCGAGAGTTTATAAACGGCATTTCTTTATTATTTATTAGTAACCCTCAGAATCTGCAGTGTCCGTTTCACGGTTATTATTCTCAGTTTGCAGATTGGTACGTTCTGTTATGTAGAATGTGACATCCTTAAGCCTCTCTTACAACCCGTCGTGCGTGCTTAGAGATCGTGCGTCCTCGGAGTTCTCGTCAGACATAGCGTTGTCGCAGGATGAAAATTAAATCGCAGCGGACGAAGTAGTAAGTACTTTATGAGTAGGTGTGTCGTGCTCTAAACGTGGGGCCCGCAAGTGGTCTGTACGCCTTTTTTTTGGAAGTAGGAAGAAGTAAGTAGCACGTACGATCTGTACTCGTGTCGCACACAGTGAGTGAGATAATCATACGTGTATTGCAAGTGAAGCGTACGTTTTCAGAAACCGTACTTACGAAGTAAGAGAAACGTAAGAGAAACGAAATAAGCACGGAAGTGGAACGCACGGATAATCAAAATAATATAAAAGGGAGCACCGAGTCTCTTCATCATTCACTGTTTTGGCTTCCAAAAAGGCACTTCCAAGAAGGATGCGCCATCGACTTCTACAGCTGCTAATGCTAGAGGAGGCCGAAGATCGTGACGCAATGCTGGCAGTGGTTGCTCGGGATCGCCTGCACTTTTATCGTGCTGGGCACGTGCGTCGTCTTAGTGTGACGCACTTCACAGGTATGGTAGTAGTACTCGCCACGCACTTTGGAAGTAAGATAAACGCACGGAGGAAGTGCGCTCACCCCCCTTATTGTTAACACGTACATTGAAAGTCAGTTAAACTTACGAGTCTCTTGCGTGGTAAGTACGTCTTCGTGGTAAAATACCCCGTAATTTCTGCATGCTTTTCCTGCGTTACACGCACGCCTAGCGCACTTACTAAGTACTTTTGTCTTGCGTGCTACGAGCGTGCTCCAGGCGTTCTAATTGTCGCAGACAGGTCGTAGCGAAAAACTGGCCGGCCAGTTTTCGGGCTGCGTGCTTTGCGTCGTGTTTGCGTCCACCAAAAATAGTACGCTCCACGTGCGTGTATCTTACTACTTGGCCAATTTTTTGCACGCAAACCGCTCGTAGAAGCACGCACGACCGGTTGTAAGAGTAGCTTTACCTTTAACTAAAATACCGTCTACTCTCCAATCACAGTCAGTACTAAAGACAATCATTATGTCATGAACAAAGACTAACTTTACAAATAAAAGCTTCGTGGTGGTTGAGATTCACTAAAGAGTGCGAGACTAAATTATCAAAAAACGTGCCATATTGGTCAAATTGATGAATTAGTTCTAATCTACTGATTGATTTCATGCTGGTGAGAATTGTAAAAAACATTTTTTGATTTGTCGCGTACTATATAAATGAATGTATCTTTGTAGCGTTTTGTGTTTTCAAGCACAATGTTTGTCTTCTTTAAATCCTATATAAAATTCCTTTGCTTTAAAAGAATCCTAGATCGTGTGTATTAATTGTAAAAACATTATGTGTACACTTACGGAGTATACCGCTGCGACAGGCCTTGCAGGGGTTCTTGAAACCTCCATGAACAAACGCAACGGCAACCAGCACAGAGAGAGTCAATGCCAGAACTTTAAGTGCACCCATTGCAGTGAGTTACTATCCGAGTGTATACTGCTAAAGGTTATACGTATAAACACGCTTCGTTAGGTCCATTTTTTATATACTGTACATTCCGGTTTGTCACCCTATTTATATCTGAAAAACGCAGTGCTATATGTACTTTGCTTGCAGTACGTGAAGGGAACGCAGCGAAGAATCTAAAAGGTCCTGTGTTAGTGGTAAAACCAGATCATGTGTACACTTACGGAGTATGCCGACGCGACAGACCTTGCAGGGGTTATTGAGTCCTCCATGAACAGACGCCATAGCAACCAGCACAGAGAGAGTCAACCCCAGGACGTTAAAGGCAGCCATTGCAGTGAGTTATAATTACTGTCTGTTAAAGGTTATACGTATAAACACGCTTCGTTAGGTCCATTTTTTATATACTGTACATTCCGGTTTGTCACCCTATTTATATCTGAAAAACGCAGTGCTATATGTACTTTGCTTGCAGTACGTGAAGGGAACGCAGCGAAGAATCTAAAAGGTCCTGTGTTAGTGGTAAAACCAGATCATGTGTACACTTACGGAGTATGCCGACGCGACAGACCTTGCAGGGGTTATTGAGTCCTCCATGAACAGACGCCATAGCAACCAGCACAAAGAGAGTCAATGCCAGGACTTTAAAGACAGCCATTGCAGTGTGTTACTATATCCGAGTGAATGCTGCTAAAGGTAATATGCATAAACACTTTTTGTAGCGTCATTTGCAACGTCAATATAACTTACATTCTGGTTTGTCACCCTATTCATATCTGACACTGCAAGGCTTTGTTTCCATATATTAGTGCAAGCGTACTTGAAGGGGGCGTACCGGAGAACTTCTATATATACTCAATATGTGGTTTGGGCCACGAGAAAGTATTACCTTTCATAAAGCAATTTATATTATTATATAATTACTGCATTGGTTGTTGCTGGTTTTTTTTTTTTTTTTTTTTTTNTGTTTTTTTTTTTTTTTTTTTTTTTTTTTTGGGGGGGGGATTAACTGTTCTGTTTTAGTTTACAGGATATAAACACTAATGTTGCTTCGTTAGTGATAATTCTTTGCCCATTTGTCTTCTGCACTCAGCTTGAATTGATAATACATTAATAGAAAAATATCAAGCAATCGGATAGTAAGATTTTTCCATTAATGATAAATTGGTTATTCCGCATTTGCATATGCAGAGGAGGTTAACAGTGAACTGCAGTGAGGCATATCCGATGTGGCCTTTTTTTGGCAAATAAATGATTAGGAAATACCCCGCCTCTTTGATAAGTAAGCCATCACAAAATTTTTGCCCATTTATATATCGCACCAAGTCAGTACTGTTTTCGTGGCCTACAGATCAAAGGTTTTTATTGAACAAAATGTTATTTTAGTAAGATAAATACTAATATACATCAAAACAAGACAAATCCATTCACACTTTAAAGTATCAAAACGTAAACATTACTTAAACTATGAACGCTTTTTGGAGAGATATCCACCGGCAATTTCGGCCTTGAGCCCTCTGATGTATTGACGGGTAGATCTACATGTATAGTCTTTCACCCAATTCAGAAAAAATCAACATCAGATACATCTTATGACTTTTTGCATTGTTTTTCAGGCCTGAATTAGAAAAGATAAGAGCCTGAAACCTCGCAGGACATTTTAACATATAAATATGACTTTTAGACATTTTCAAATCCGTGTATATGGTATACATTAAAACCACTCCCAATAGCCTAGACACATCTCTGAAAAGGGCGATTGAAGCCAAGCTGGATACAAACACGATACAAACACGTCTTTGTCAGCCTACATTTTAAAAATGGCTTGCATACAAGACTTTTAGATAATCATCTTGAATCTTAGTCATATACAGAAATAACTGCCACTTTAACTCCTCTATGAATCTTTGTTCTTTCCTGTTTTTAATGTCACATCTTTCGCACTTTAAACGTAAACAAGGTCCAACCAATTTAAAGTTTTGGTACAATTATTTTTTTCCCTTTGTCTAAATCCTAAGCATTGGGGGCATAGATAAAATGTTTGTACATATATATTATTTTGCATTGCATTTGCACAGCTAAGTGCGTTGCCTTGGATTCTGTGTAGAGGAAGTCTCCTTGATAACCGGTAGCGATCAGCGGCGTGATAACTTATAGTTAAATCAATTTCCGCATTCCCTGCATTTTTCTATCAATCAAGTATTTCGCCCTCTGAAAAATCAAGAAACAACGTAGTATACGGTGATGATAATCCATATAAATAAATCAAAACTAATTGGTCAAAATCAATTGTGAGTATTATTGTATTGTAATGGTGTCAGTGTAGTGAACCTTAATCAAAGCAGGCCTCTGCAAACTGGGTTTTACAAAAACGCACTAAACACAAAGGACAAAGGAGTTGCATCGAAATACAAAATTTTTGTAAGTGTTTATTTTAGAAATTCCTAGGAATTGTTTGTAATAAGGCTTACTTAACACATAGTAGTAACATCGAAATACAAAATTATCGTAAGAGTTTACTTAAGGTCTTCCCAGGAGCTAGTAGTAATAAGCCTTGCACTTGTGTTATACTTACTTGACTAATACGTCATAATTTCCTTCAAAGCCAAAACGACATAACACTCGTTGACCGTTCTTCCAGCGAACCTGGCAAAAATAAATTAAAAAACATTTTTTAAAATTTTAGAAAAAGAGCTAATTATATATAAAGTGAACAACTTTTTTGTGGTAAGTATCTAGCTTAGGCGAAATCAATCACGCATGCTATTGGGTTTGATGTAGTTCGACTCATATAAAAAAGTAAGTGAATAAAACATTTTTGTTTTTTAATAAGCACAAATGTGTGCCGCTACGCCCGCGATGACGCCAGTTTCTTTACCGTTTAGGTTACAATAAAAAGCTTTACATTGACACGTAGGCATATTTTGAACGCACCAAGAAACTAGATGGACACGTGTTATATATAACGTCTTTTATATAACGTGTTACATATTACATGCATGTCTTCTATATTGCTTATGTTACATATAGCATGTCTTCTGTATATAACGTGTTACAATGTAGTAACTGTTACACATTACATGTCTTCTATTTAACATGTGTTATACACAAAATGCAATCTTCTCTTTACCTTTACAAAGCCGTCTTCAGATACATGGTAAACATACCCAACTGCATGGCGGCCACCCACTGTGTAAGGGTCATACATCCAGTCAGGCCCTGGGGAACAGAGGGAAGACTATTGATACCTACTGTGACTGTATTCAAACTATATATAGCGGACTCTGAATTAAAAGACAGTGGATAGCCAATGTGATAGCATTCAAAGTATATAACTGAATCTGAATAAAGACGACGAATATCCAATGTGATTGCATTCTTATTATACAGATGACTTTGAATAAAGATGCGCTGAGAACGTTGCATGTGTAGGCCTATATCTACATCTCAACTGCTCATGTTAAACTTGCATAAAGATTGGTCTCGGTATTAGGCTATTTGAAACAGTGGCCAACAGGATACTGGTACCTACCTAGTTGTACTTCCACTCCAACAGCAATGGTCTCCCCTGGCTGCAGCTCCCTGGTCTCGTCTGACGCCAGGATGTCATAGGCCGCCTCTACCCCATATCTGTAGATGTTCACCTCGTCGTTATGATCCCACTGCACAGACAGCAACCCTGAAGAAAATACACATATTTGTGGGGTAATTACATGTACATGAATATTTGTAACAAAATGTCGTACGGCTGGTTTGTTCTTTCACATTCCGCACGTTAGTGTACAAGAAATAGAAGTTTCTCATTATGGTTTTGCAATGCTCACGAAATGTTACTTTTAAAATGTAACCTTTACAATAACGTATACGTATCTGGTCCGTACATACCAACATTGTCATCTTTTACGACAGTGCCAAGACCCTCGCCATCTTGGTTGCCCCATTTCCAGTCAGGTCCCCTGCGCACGCGCGATCCAACAGGTAGTGGACCTGCATGGTATCTCGGCTTTGTATACTCCACTGAACCGGACCCAAGGCCTATACATGATGCAATAAACATTGTTTAAACCAAGGTAACCGCAAGGCATATATACACCCCAACTACATCCAAGTACGTAAACTTATCCCTTGATTTCGTTCCATAACATCTAATAACTACATATACTTATTTCCTAGCTATTACATTATTTCTTTAATCAAATGCAATATGCCTATGGAATCATTTAGTACATCAAAATAAATAGCCAACCTATATGTACATGCATATTGGCTACACATGAAATATACTGAAATCACTATACATGTACATTTACAACTAAAGGTTTTCAGTGTTAAGTAAGGATGGAGCTGGCCTCATGTCGTCACAAAAATGAGGAAATGAACTTACCAGTTGCAAAACTCGGTGCCATCGTTTGTGCCATGGTGCGCAGACCCCTTCTCAAGTCTATCTGAGCCACGTTACTCCTTCGTTTCTCGGCCGGAGGTTCCACACCACCTGTCCCCAGGGGCTCGTCTTCGTGGTAACTCTCATAAAACTCGTCACTGTTTTCAATGACGACGTTTTGACTCTCTCGGAATCTCGCGTGTTTTTGGATCTGTGGCTTAGACTGGTGTGGTGGTTGCTTAGGAACAGCAAAATGGCCATTCGCGCGAAACACATTGATGGGTGAAATAGCAGCTGGTAGAGCTGCCGCCGTTACTCCCTTTGATTGTCCTTCTCCAGAATTTTTTAGTTCTTCCAGTTGTTTCTTCATCCCGCGCATCGCTTTTTCTTTTGTAGCCAATATGGCTTCCAGTTCAGCTAACTGTTCGTTCAAACTCTCGGTTTTTATTCTTGCTGTTTCTGCATCTGCGAGGAGTTGAGTGTTTTCCTTTTCTTTGCCCCGCAACTCAGCCAAAACATCGTCCACTTCTTTGTCTTTCTCTTTAATTAGAATCTCTTTGTCCACATCCACTAATCTCTTCCATTTCTGAACCTCGTTGTCTTTTTCCTTGAAGTCAATAAAAACAAAAAACTGATTAAAGAAGTTTGAAATAACCAAAACTTGCGCTCCGAATTTAAATTTGTGTCTTTAAATGATCTTAAAATAACCAGAACAAATTTAAGGAATGCAATGTACATTTATGATCTAGAAAAGGACCATTGTTCCATTTAGTGTTTACATTGTATGTGTAACATGAACTTGGTGCCTGGTGAAAAATTGACGTAAAATGGACGAAAGGCAGCATGTGAACGAATTTTTTAAAAAAATTCCTTGTGACAATACGCACATGCGCTTCAGACAATTCGCGCCTGCTCTATACAACTAAGTCCTACCTGAAGCTCCAGTTCCATGTCAGCGATATCCGTCTCAAGCTGTCTTTTGTCGTTCTCCAGGCCGGGCACGATACAATCCCTGTAGTTGGCTATGTCTTCTTGTAAACGCTCTTTTTCATCCCCGCACTGCAGAATCTGTCTCCTCATGTCCCCTAGAGCCTGCTTCAGCTTTTTGTCCTTGTTTTTCTGGATTGAATACGCGCGAAATACGGACTCAAAGGGAGACTCAGTATCTGCTGTCAGCTGGCTGAACTGGTTTGTATTTACGCAAAGGTCAAGGGCACTTATGGCTGAATGATCCGCGTGTCTGTGTTTCTTTGGTCTAGAGATCCCCTGGGAGTCATCTTTTGTACAGAGTTCTGTAAAGTAATCAACCACATACGCATGCATTGATATTTATTCTGCTTGTTGCAAACCTTTTACACACACCCTTTTTAACCTCCTCCACGATTAGGAATTGTAAATTATAATTGTATGCAATTCTTTCTTGTTATCAAAACATAAACAATCAAGCACATGTCACACGTGCTTAACTTCGAATTTGCTGTTGCCTAAAGAACTGAAAGATTGTTTTGTATTTTATTATTGCAATATCCTGACATATATCAAGGAAATGGAAATAATAAGACCACTGTGTAGCATACTAACACAAATGCGATTGTGATTGATACCAGACAAGACGACTTACTGCTGAACATGAAATCCCTCCTCGTCTTGAAGTATTGCTCCACTGTCAAACCACTATGGACACAAACAGCCAGCTCCATATCCTTCACGACCTCCTTTACGTCCTTATCAACTACGATCTTCCCAAGAGTCGGTGTGAGTGAAGTGGGGTGGGCACTCCTAAGGGCTCCCCAAAAACTATCCAGCAGTGACAATTTGTGGAACTGCAAGGACAGCGTCATGCTGTTGGCGTCCATGGACTTGATTTGGTACCCAGCCATTCGAAACGTCTTGGTGACAGAGGTCCGCCAGGAGGCGTCTTTCCATTTGGCCTGCAAAACGCCACCTGCTTCTTTCAGTCTCTTGGCGTCCCCAGGACTGTAACTGTCTGCTGTGAAGCTCAGAGAAAATGATACCTGGACTGTTGGGGGTGCTGTAAAATACGACAAAATATGTAATAAATGATAAAGAATACTGCTAAATCATGTCAATTTTATCTTGAAAATTAAAATAAATTATTGAGTAACAATTGCATGCTTTAATGTCTTTGCAGGTTTCATACAGATGCTTTAAAGTAAAATTAAATCCAATATTTGAAAAAGAAAAAGAAAAATAAGCAAGTGTTCTTAACAAATACAAATACCTTTTCTTTTCTTCAGCAGCTGAGCGAGGTCAGTTTCCCCAATGTCGGCCAGTCCTTTCCTCAAGGCACCCACAGCACGGTCCCCGACATAATGCAACACGGATAGCACACAGCGGGCTTTCTCCGACATCGACTGGACAGACTGGACACGCTGGCCCTCCCAGGCTGAGAACACCCCAGCCTTCACTAAACAGGACGCTAAGAGGTTGAGGTCCACCGCCGCCAAGGGATAGCGGTACTGCTCAAAAAGAGCTTTGGTGCCGCTGCTGATAGCTACTATGGGGGTTAATACTGGCGTCGACATAGGTGTCTCAGGATTTGCGCTTTGTTCATTAACTGAAACAGATGTTTGATTCTTCCTGATCATTTCCTTAATAATAATAATAATAATGAGTAAAATATTTAGCCCAAAATTCATTTATGTTTAATAGAATTTACAATTTTGAAATACAAGTTACAAAGGAAAGGGGGAGATTGATCAAAATTTGATTTAAATTATTTTAAGTTAAAGAAATGATCTGGAATACAAGCAATGCATAGGAGAAATAGATAGTTTCCTGGATATCATAACAAGTCCATAGTTTGAGCAGGAATTATTAATTTTTTCATTAGTTTCAAATGATAAATGATGCATGGATTATCGTCTGATACTACAGTATATCAAAAGCTGCTACCAGACACAACTTACCTTTGGGTTTCAAAATCTCAGTCTGTGTTCCTCTCGACATCTCTGTAACCTTCTGTTCTCGCCCAGACTCACTGAAATCAGTGATTTAGTAACATAATTTCTATATTTATACAAACAAGTTCACAGTAATATTCCCCAATAATTTGGGATAGAAAAATTGTTGTTTCTCATATATATCATGTCATTTCATACAAATAAAAAATTCTCTGAAACAATACAAATAATGAAAAGTAAATACCCTCAAAAATACGTCACCTTTTTGATTGACACAAATCATGCTCATCATTATGATACGAACTACAGGTGATATGTAACATCTACCAGTATGATAGATATTGACCATATTAAAAAACAGTGGGGGTGGCGTATACAATATTGTGATATGTACACATACAAGTTCTGATTCCTCAGTGGATCCCATTCTCCATATAGCTGTGTTGTTGTGGTTATAACCGGGATTCTTGGTTGACCATCCTGTTCAGCAGAGTTTACCAAATGGTCGCTCTACAAGACAAATACAGCTCTGTAAACTGACACAGTGCTATAGACGAATTGCCGTCAAATATACATATATGTGCATGTAAACCCTTCCTGTTAACAGATATATACAAGAGTGCATGCACCATGTATACTGTTAAGTTGTAAGTACCTTTGTAAAAAGCTACTGGATATTTAGGCAATCAGGATGTAAAGTAGGCTGGTGTTACATATTAAACTTAACCTTTTTTTACTAGCCTGGTGTCATTTTATGTGTACAAATACCTTGTGCTAGTGTCAAATGACACAGACTGTCCATGTAAATGCCATGCAGGGACAATTAAAATGTCGTTAATCATTATCACTTTACATACCTAATTCCGTGCTCCTGATTATCATAATATGAAGCTAAAAACACAAACCTCTGTTTTTGAAGTATCGTCTGAGAAATCCAGGAGCATTTTCTCATTGATGACTGGAGCTACTAGTACGGGAATAGACCCCAAGTCGCTATAGGACTCTGACATAGAAAATATGTCGTCTACAGTAGGGTTCTGGCTGCAATTACTTTTTACGAGGTCTATCAAACTGGTGTCACTTTCACTTTCGATAGGTTTTGTCTGACACACGAGAACTTCGCTGTTTGGTGGTACTGCTACATATAAAACGAACAGGCACATAATATAAAAATATGACTGGGAATATATCATCACGTTTTCGTGAATGCAACTGAAGAGATGAAATAACATGCCATAAATAGAAATATACTGCGTAAGTAAAAAGCCGATGGTCTAGCAATTATAAAGCATTTAATATAAAAAATGCCACTACCTTCGGAAGCTGCATTTTGCTCCTCAATTTGCGTTAAAGTAGCCTCAATTCTGTGTAATGTGGTCTCAATAGTAGCCACGCGTTCGGTGAGATTGAGGAAATCCCCCACGCTCACTGTCTGCTGTAGAACCTCTCTCCGCACCTTGTCCAACTGGCAATGAAAATAGATAATGGGATTTGATAAAAATTTGTAAAAGGTGGGTCGAGCACGAGGGGAGGGGGTAGGAGGGGGGAGGGGGTATGTGTATGTGTGCGTGCGTGCGTGTGTACATGTTTTCTGCGTGTGTGTCTTTACTGTATATGTGCGCGTGTGGGGAGGGAGGGAGGGGACAAAAAACTATGACTCTTTACAGGTTTCTGTATTTACACGCAAAAATTATACAAACTTTCAAAGATAATAACTTTTCCACGTTAATTCTTTCAAAGCAATTCTATGCTTCAGTAGCTTATCATTGAAAATTAAAATTAATATTTGATTTTTTTATTCAGTAAGGTTCATTAAAGCACTCTCCTGTCAAAAGACAATAGGTCGCGCCGTGCTTTATTTCGTGTAAAGTTACGTCATCCACGAATGCATTCCACGCACCAGTGCACAGGGATAATTACTCGTGCTTTAAGCCAGATAAAGCACTCGGCGATGCGCTTTACGAGAAATAGAGCAGATAATTGTCTCGGCTTCGCCTCGCCAATTACCTGCTCTATTTCTCGTAAAGCTCAGCGCCTCGTACTTTATCTATACCGTAAAATACAACGTGCGGTTAATAGAAAATTGGTGATAAACCACAGAATATTGACACTAGAAGCAAACTTTCTTTCTCTTTTCCCTTTTATTTAAACATTAATCTTTTTCACAACCGCATGATAAAAAGAAGGGGGAAACCTGAAACTAAAAACACTTTTCCCCTCAAAACTAAAACCAATTAAAATATATGAAACTGATAATGATACTTTTTGTAATTAAATCAAATCATCACTTGCAAGTATGAAGTGCGGTCCTAAGAGTTTAAAACAAAAGATTACTTTATACCATACATAAATATCCATCTTTATTAACGTGCAAATGGCGCCAGGAAGATTAACAAGCTACAATATAAGCTGTACAGAGTTGGGCAGACACCCTATCTACAATGATATCATCAAGTTAACACAAACACCCCATTTCCATAGATTAGATCGACCTACTTTAGATCGACCTAACTCCCTGGGGGTTTACGATAAATAGCTGTCAGCCGGGCGGACACGAAAGTTAATTACCCCCTTTACAGCTTGTAGTAGGCGGGACGGACATTAAAGTCGGATTATCTGAAAGTAATCTAGTGAGACTACCCGCGGGGATGGATCGATCTAAAATCTATGGGAATAGAGCCAAAGGCATGGGAAAAGATTAGAGAAATTACTAGATAAGCGGCCTACTAAATAAATAGACGTTTAATATTATATGCCATTTGGATTAAGAACTGTATGCTTAAGTATCACTCGGTATATGATATATTTGTGAACTTGAATAAGTATAAAAAGTAGATAAGATACGTAATATATACATTACGTGCTTAAAAAACCTACAATGAAATGAAAATTATGCGCGATATGCCCCCCCTCTAATTTTTCATGGCTCTCTCATGGAATATTCGAAGGCCAGGCCAGTGTGTGTGTGCGTGTGCGTGTGTGTGTGTGTGGGGGGGGGGGGAGGCGCAGTGCGATGACTTTGTTAGGATTTCAACATTCATTTAAAAGAGACAAAATAGCAAACCAGTGCAGAACATTACGTGACCCGACCAAATGAAGTTATTCAAAGCAATTTTAGTCAGTAAATTTTGAATTTTGATTTTAAGTAAAATAGTACAAGGGGTTAATGAAAAATTGGTAATAACCTATGATATTTTTATATTGAAAAAAAATAGCAGCAAATTCTTGTTTTTTGTTCTTATTTTTGCTCTATTTCGTCCACTTATGAAAATGTAAGTTATGCGTGACCGGATGAGAGGAACCTCTCTCCTCCCCCCCTTTTTTTTTTGACAACACAAACACACATACACGCACACATGAACACACATGCGTGTGTACACACACGCACACAATCATACAAGCAAGCAGACAAGCACTCACACACATGCGCGCACGCGCACATATACAGCCACATACATACACACACTCACACATATGCACACGTACACACACACACACACGCACAGACACACACTCACACACACTCTATCCACCAGTTCATTATTACAATAAAGCTTATATTAAACTGACATTTTAAAATAGTAATAAAATAGAATAATATTATAGTAATAAAAGTGAATAAATACAAACACCACAGAAATATAATAAATTGTATTTTAAAACCAAAACGGCAGTTAACGCGATTATTCTGGAATTTGTGCCTGCCATCACATCATGTGACCTCCACTGATGGCCACATTTTGGAATAATCTCTTAAGAGAATATTACTATAAACCAAACTCTTTAGAAAAAAAAGGGACTAACTTTGAATGTCGGAATGAATTTATTAAACATTGGTAAGTATGAGAAAATTGTCCATTACCCCTGGAAAATCCATTTTTTGGCCAAAAAAAGCAATTTCTATCCCTTTAATTAGTAAACGTAGTTTTTATTTTTATTATTTTTATTATTATTTTTTTTTTTTTGGGGGGGGGGTTATTTATACTTATACCCACCAGTGCCTTATTACGGCACGTTAAATCTAGTGATGCCACTATTGCCTAAGACTCCACGTCAGTAAACTGCACTCACCTGTTTCGCCCAAGGGGGCTTAGGACTGTCACTGTTATTTGAGGGGGACGCGCTGCGGTTGCTCATTTCTGCACTGACAGTCTATTCCCCTGTGCTCTGAGAGATCTTTATAATGGTCTACAGTGCCTTAGGTGACCTATATAGGGGAATATATACTAGTAATTCTGTTTTATACATTCCTTGTCTAAATAACAGGGTGAATTAAGCACTGACACTGAATATATAATATCTGGTTACGGTAAATTTGATCAGGTTTTTCCTTCACGCACACTCTGTAAACATATAATAATTTATAATAATAGGGGTAGACTAAGGGTGTACAATATCTTATATAAAATTGTTTGATCCAGGTCGCCCCGACCTTATAATATTTGATCACTTTGTTTCCGACATTTTGCCATGATATCCTTTTATAATGACAAAATGTCAAAATTTTATACGTGAGGTATTTTGCCACAAGTTTGCCTGGGAAAGGCGAATGGGGGGGGGGGGGGGGGAGGGGAGGGTGGGGGTGGGCGGAAGCGGAGGAAAGAAAAGAAGTAAAACTGATATCATGCAGGAAACCCCAGTGACTAAACCGAGACGCGAGAATTTTAAATTTCACAGCCACAGCTGCAGTACTTGCGGCTATGTGAGGCTTTGTATTACTCTATTTTTGTGTCTACTGCCCCAGTAAACATATGGCCTCCTGGCCTGGGCCTACGTGTTTATTTACACTACGCCATATTTAAATACAAGTAGGCCTACTGTCTCAAATAAAAGGTGTCCTATCTATTTACCAGTAGCTCCATATATAATTTGTGCTTTATAATACTGCATTTTTTTGCGTATAGTAGTTAGAATGCCTTTAAATGTAAAACATATATTCAATAAAACTATTATCATTATAATTTTATAAAGATCAGTAGTAGATTTTAGATGATATGCGTGTCATGGATGTATAGCGCATGAAGCGAAAGTAAACAGTGGACGTCAGTTTCGCCGTGTGCTTACCTAGTGAATAGCCTATACATTGAGTTCGAGTAACAGACTCACCTAACGATCCACAATTTGTCTAGAGGGTTCGACACTTTATTTTAATCACACTTCTGTCACAGAATGGCGCAGCTAGACGATGTTTTGTTGCTTCTTTCGATCTGCTGAACACGGACGGGAAAACCGTGCTATTTTTAGACGCGCGCATGCGTATTAAAAACATGAAAATTCCCCCGATGCAGTTACATTACGAGTGCACAGAGTTGACAAAGTGAAACAGAATGGTTGAACATATTAAGCTGTAACTTTAGAGGTAGGTCTCTCAGTACTAGCCAGGAAGAGCTATAATAATACTTTATTTTGGGTTGATAAGGCATTACTGCACACTAGCATATGGGGAAATTATATGCTAATCCACTTCCGTAGGCCTAGCGATGTAGAACGTATATGTACATGTCAAGGTTAACGGCTCGTGGAACGCTGCCGGATGTGTTACAAGTTACGGTAGTTGTTAGACGTGCACGGTCCAAAAGTGAAAACTCAACTCCTTGCTTAAATATGTTTTGGTTTATTTTTGTCTATCTTTTTATGTACTAATGAATGAATTATAATCATTTTTATTTATTTATTTATTTATCA